AGCAAGGGTACTTCCTTCAGCTTCAGGCTTTGCAACAACGAAGGTGAGGCTAATGACGGGTTCAGGCTTTGTAATGCTTGCTCACACTCGGCTGCCCATTCAATTTTTTTTTCCTTAGTAAAAATAAAGAAAGCAATGTATTTCTCTTTGGACTTAGAGATGAACAGGCTAGGTCTTGTTAGTTGGTCGGTTAACTTCTGCACTTCCTCTGTGTTCCATAGACGTGGCGTATTCAGGAGCGCCTTTACATTCTCTGGATTAGCTTTAATCCCAGTGGGTATCAAAAGATACCCCAAAAATTACTTAGTTTATGCTCCAAACATACATTTCAATGGATTCAACTCATATCGTCTTTCTTTAATGTTTGGAAGGTTTTTTTAAGTCATTTATATGTTGGTCGGTCGACCAACTTCTAACAAAAATATTAGCGACATAAGCATCAAAATTCTTTTTTGTTTTATCAGCAAAGATTACATCCATACGTCGGTAAGTAGCCCCAGCATTTTTCCGCCCAAATGGCATTACTTCATAATAATACAGTCCTTCACTTGCAACAAAAGAAGTCTTCTAAACATAGGTCAAGTGCATTTTGATTTAGTGGTAGTTGGAGAAAGCATCTAAGAAACTCATGATTGAATGTTTGATTGTGGAATCCACCGGTGCTTTGATCCTTGGTAGGGGGATAACAATTCTTGGGGCATGCCACATTTAAATTTTTGAAATTAGCGCACATCATCCATTTGTCACACAATGATCACATTAGATATCCATGAAAGATATTGTATTTCTCGGATGAAGCCTACCTCCTCGAGCTTCTGCATCTCCTCACGAATCGGCACGGCCAAAGTCATGGCTGACAGTTGAATCTCTTTCAGTGGATAAGACATTTGAATTCACATTGAGGCGATGACATACCACATTATTAGAATGACTGACATCTCAGCAGTCGACCAGGAGAAGACGTCACGGTTCAATCGGAGTCTGGATCAGCGAATCTCGATGCCCTGCATCAAAAATCTCACTAATCAGAAAAACTTTACTGGGTTCGTCGTGATCGGCAATGATCTCAATGGTGTTTTTTTTTCATTTTTAAAACCCCCCCCCCCCCCCCCAATTGTCTATGTTGGATGTCCAACTCTTCTTCTCAATGCTACCTACCGCTCAGAAGTAGCATGTCTGAGACTGCTTCAGAATTCCATGCACGATCACAATTTCCTCTTTGCATGAAACTTTTATTGCCACATGGTATGTTGATACCACTGCTCTGAAATTATTAAGTAGTGGGCGACTAAAGATCACATTGTAAGTTGGTGGTGCACCGACTACCAAGAAATCCTACATATTGGTAAAGTGGTAGTAACCCTCTTCCCATGTGATTGACAGCCCAATTATGCTCAGAGCCTCCTTTTGTTCATCAGAAAAATATAGGAGTCCAATCAGTGCAACCAGATGATCAATTGACAGGTTCATTTTGTCAAAAGCATATTTGAATAGTATGTTCCCTAAATTATCTGTATCAACTAAGATATTACACACCTAGTAGTTGTTGATTGTTGATGTAACGACAATGTCGTCGTTGTAGGGATTCCTTGCAGGGGGCAAATCCGCATCAATAAAAATGATCGGTGATGGGGCTTTCACTTTAAGGCGTAAGCAACTACACAATGCTCACCCGATCGAAGCCTATTTCAGTCGACCCTTCTGATTGAGTCTCCACCCAGTATATTTGGCATTATTGTTCCAATAGGCCCATCTGAGGCATTTTCCACTGGCGTCTTCCCCTCTCGTTAGAGCCGCAAATTCTTTAAGTTTTTTTTTTACCAGAATTAGTTCCTCGACCAAGCTTTGGAGGTGTTTGCATTTCTTCGTGTCATGGTCATGGTCTTTATGGTTTTTACAACAATTATTGGTGTTCCAATGAAAAGTGTCGGTTCTCATCAGTGGAGCTTCCAAAAGCACTCATTATCCTTAATAGCTTCGTGAATTACAATAGGCCTTATTATCCCCACAGGACGACCAACCTCTCTTCTGCTTGGGGAGAAGACCAACCTTCTCCCTGTACCTATCATCTCGTTAGAGTATCTTATCTGAGTAGTGGTAAGACTCCTCAACTTTAGAGATAGGCAGATTGGCATACTCCTTCGGCGCAATGTGGTCATTGTTCAATTCGAGAAGTTCGACTAAAGTGTCGTACTTCTGTAAACCCATAATATACTTAAAATGCATGCTCCTTGGCCCTTGCGTCAGGTCAGCCTTTGTGATTGATACTTTTAGCATCTCCTTGTGGAATAGCGTAACGTATGATCAAAGGCTTTCATTCAGCCCCTATTCAGCGTGTTATAGAGCTTCTAAATCCTTGTGAGGCTTTTAGGCTCTAGCAAACTACATCGTGAATAATTTCTTGAACTCTCCGAAAGAGGTGATAATTTTAACATGGAGTCCATTGAACCACTTAAGAGTTGAATATCTCAATGCATTATAAAATAATTGACACTTTAATGTGTCGCAAACTTTGAGAAGGCATGTAGCTGACTCAACGAACGCAATGTAATTGGGTTGAATCCCTCAGTGCATTATAAAATAATCGACACTTTAATGTGTCGGAAACTCTGAGAAGGCATGTAAGTGACTCAACAAACACAATGTGATTGGATCACTTCAACCCTTGTATGGCTCCAAAGATGAAACCTTAAACTTCTAAGGGGACTCTGCATCAATAATCTAACAAGACAATGCTTTTTGTAGTCCGCAATAAACCTCCATTCACTTCACTTATGGTTTGTTCCTTGGCATGGGCCTAATACTATCTTAATACTGAAATTCTTCCACCCATTTGACTTCTTAAGTTGTCTAATGAGCTTTGGGTTCGAGTACTCGAGGAATAGGTTATGAGACAGTTTCTCCTCGACAATTCAATCTCTTGACATAATTCTTCCACCCATTTGACTTCTTAAGTTGTCTAACGAGCTTTGGGTTCGAGTTCTCGAGGAATAGGTTATGAGACGGTTTCTCCTAGACAATTCAATCTCTTGACAAGATAGTGCAATCCTTCAATATACACCTTACATGATCCATCAAATTTTCTCAAGGCTCATACAACCAAATTTCTTATTTACAAAACTATATAAAATTACTTTTATAATATGTTACCATATATTTGATTTGTAATATAGAATAAAGCTCATCAACTTATTCAAGATGTTTGAAATGTTCATCTCAATCACACAATATACTCACTCATTTAATTCAAGTATAATTTCATAAAATGTATATCTTTTTGCTCACTCCTAATGTATTTATTTGTTTTAAAAGGGAAAGGAATAGTGAACTGAGGTAGCAATCCTTGTTGATAAAGAAATATTCTCTAATTATAAGTACTTTTTTTGTGATCATGAAAATTTACTGTTTAAATATTGAAGTGTCACGATTAGTGTACATGACTAATTTTTAATGTAAATAATTTTGATATACATTGCCTGTGAAAAAGAGATGATGAGTTAATGACTTATTTTCTTTCTTGTTATTTTTTTAATTTAATGGTGCTACATAAAGCACTTCAAATATATATATATATATATTTCATATAATTTTTGGGAAATTTTTTATTATGTTTTAACATGATTAATCTACTATATTATTTAAATCTTCATATTGGAAGAAAATATTACATCAAGACTCCTAACACAATTTGCGTTCAAAATCCAATGGTGAAGCATCACATGAGTCCTAATCTAAAATAAATTCACATGAGTCCTAATCTAAAATTCACATGAGTCCTAATCTAAAAAAAATAAATTCACATGAGTCCTAATCTAAAATAAATTCACATGAGTCCTAATCTAAAATAAATTCAAACCAACTGAGCCTAATTATGCAAAGTAGTTTTGACATGCACTCCATTAATGGACTCCAAACACAAATTATGTTAAGAGTCCTAAAGTAATATTTTTTTTTTCATATTGGCTTGGGAGATTAAGCATTCCAAAAAGATTACTTCAACTAAATTCAAACCAACTTAGCCTAATTTTGTAAACTAGGTTTGAGTTTAACTAAACTTGTTAAAGTTTAGGCTTATTTACTAAAACAGCATAATCAGTCAATAAAGAACAATCAGTCATAAGAGCACAACCAGCATAATAACTTCTCATATTGCATGAGCCTTCACACAAACCCATTGAAAAAAGCAGAGGATAAAATGGAAAAATCAACAAAAAGATTAGGGTAGATTAAGTCTAAATGAAAAGATAAGAATAAACAATCAGTCATATAACAACTCCATCACAATGTAGACAGCTCCCAAGTAAAATATTCAACAAAAAAAAAAAGGGCACAACCAAAGCAAAATAACTAAATGGCTATGACAAACTACAGAATAAAAGATTTCAGTGTTATCTGCATTAGCAAAAACCCTCCCTACATCCAATTGGCATTATTACACATCAAGTACCAGATCAAATTAGCAAGCAAATCTATTTAGTCGTGGAAACAAACGCAAAATCTAAAAACATCATCCCGCTAGATGCAAAAATGTTTTTTTTATTCCCCTTCTGAAAGCACATGGCTTAGACATTAGAAAAAGTGAATTGTCATGAAACTAGCTAATGCGCCATCCCGCTAGCCTGATTGCTCGATCATTGAAACATAAAAGCTTGCACTATTCGGGAGATTACGAGCTTAAACAACACAATCAGTCATATAATAACACGAGCAGCATAATAATATAACTTTTCATATTGCAGAAGTCTACTCATAATCCATTTAAAAAAAAAA